GGCACTGGAATGAAGAAAGGAATGCCATGTTTGAGACGATTGGTATCCAATACAACTCTGATAAGATGACATCTATCATGGTTCAAAGTGTAGACTCCTGGAGGGTATTCCAGAGGGATAAAGTAGTTTGGCATCTCATGAGGTCATCTATTTCAAATAGTATAGGTTGTAATTAATTTAGTGGAACTAGGGAACAATTTTTCTGACCTAAGCCAACGTTTGATGTTTCTGATAAATGTCTGGGCTGGGGATAGAGACACATCCCCTTATCATTGACATTAAATGGCTACTGTAGAAGATCCCAAATGCCGCGAATTTGAGAAGAAAGATGACACCCAGACTCACTGCTTGTGAAATGGATGATGGTTCCCGATCTAGGCATAACAATTTGGGGACGTAAAGGGAAGAAGAAGATCAGCAAAAGCTTCTCCAAAGATATTCGGAGACTTAACAAAATTAAAGTTTACGACTTTCGTAATCTACTTTCATTAATCCTACTTCTGACAGAACTAGACATCCAAGCAAAATTTTTAATGATCCCAAGGTGATTGTCAACTATGGTCTTAATGTATTGACCCGACTTTGGTTTATTAACATCGGGAGTATAGCCCTACATGGGTCCAGGCATCCGAGTCGGCTTGACCAACTTAGCATAATTCTGACCCAACTTTGAAGAACAATAGAACATTCCTACAAAAACCTAAAATTCTCATTATTATTACATCCCATACACAGAGTATCAAACTTGTTTTAATGATTAATCTGTAGGTTTTAACGCATAAAGTGTGACACAGGAAAGCAATTTATATCGATCGTAGATATTTACCGCTTCCAAAGAATCCTTTCTTGCTTTTCTTCGAAGTCTCGGCTCGAGATTGTTTAGTAGTTTTGTCCTTGGCGGAAGCGGTGGCCGATTTTTTGATGTCCTTGGCAGTAAGCTTGTTTATAGGTTTGAGGGCTGGTGGTGCTATTGGAGTAGGCCTGATGGGTTTACTTTCCCGCAACTTATTCTTTGGAATTGGACTGACCTTAGCGACCTTGGTACCACCTTTCACCTTGGATGGACAGCACTGGTAAGGCTGATAGGAGGGAATCTTTGGTTTCGCGGTTTTTGCTCCCATCCCGATGTAGAAACAGCCGTCGCCTGCAGTAAGCAAATATACACGAATCAGACAAAATGAATTTTCAAAAATGAAAAAAAGAAAATGGCTTTTGCAATAGACCGAAAATAAAATAAATTTTTTTTTTTTTTTTTTTGAATAAAAGAAAATATCTCAAATTACAAACAATAATGGAAAAATAAGGTTTTATTTGATTAAAATAAGAAATTTCATAAAAATTATAAAGACAGTTAAAGACCAAAAAAAGGAAATAAACATAAATAAAAGTTAGTTATATGAAACCCTAAAGATTGAAGCGCAGAAATGTGTATTATAATCCCATTGCGCAGCAAAAGCCAAACGTGCAAGTTTTCGAGAGAAAAAAAAACAATACTTTCAGCGAGTCGATGACTCCCTGTTGTTGCTACAAGAAAATATGTCTGAATTTGAAAAAAAAAATTTGGATGATTAAAACATGATAAATATACCTTTAAAAAATGTTATGTAATAATCAAAACATTGTAAAACATGATTATAAAAAAACGATAATTCCACTGCAGGCGACGGCTATTACCAAGGAACGATCAGCTCGCTTGAAAATATTGTTGATAAAAATGCGGTGGAATTTTAAATAGCTTTCCGATGCAACCCATAATAACGTAAATAAAAAATTTTGTTTTGTAATTCAGAGATGACATGCACCATATTACAGGATCGATAAGTGGATTTTAAAGAATAGGATTTTTTTTTTGGTTCAACATATAGGAAACAAAAATAGAAAATGATAAATATTGATAAAGAACAAATGCATTAAAAAAAGGAACAAAAGATTCAAAATATTTTCTCTCGACCCTGACCGAAATGGGTGAGTAATTGGATCACGATTCCTAACGGTTTTTTTTTTTAAAAAAAGGATCTCTAAACTACTGTAAAGAAAAAATTGGTTCAAGCCTATTTACACTGTGCACTTGAGACGAAAATCAAATAATTGATATAGATCATTGTAAACTCTTGCTTTAAAAGAAAGCCTACCATATTTTGATATCACGTGACCTTCATTTCATCTATCACAAGCGCCGTTGCGTCTTTACCTGGGTATAGAAGCTTTTTTTTAACACTGTGATTTGGTTTTTTCTTTTCGCCTTTCTTATCCTCCTCTTCTATTTCTTCATCGCTATCATCATCATTATCATCAGCGTCATCATCCTTATTGATACTATTATCATCATCATCATCATCACTATTTGAATCGTCGTCATCGTTATTGTCATCATCATCATCACTAACATTTTTACTAATATCATTATTATTATCGTTATCATTATCATTATTTTCTTTACTATCATCATCATCATCATCGTCGTCGTCATTATTTCGACTATTACTTTCGTCCTCATCATTTTTGTCAACCTGAGAATCATCCTCTCCACTTTTATCATCTTTCTTGTCAGTATCCTCATTAGAATCACTATCATCCTTCGAATTATCTCTTGAATCATTGTCATCGTTATCGTTATCCATCGAATCATCATCTTTATCATTACCTGTGTAATGAAGATTAGCAGCGGTCATGTAAAAAATAGCGCGTCGAGGGTTGTAAAACTCTAGCTATCTTTCAGTCGATAGGATCACAAAAAGCTATTATTATTATTATTATTATTAAAATTTGAAGCAAAAAAAACATGAGATCAAAAATAAAAATGCACAGATGTGTCTGCCGCTTTTATAAAAAAAAATTTCTATTTCATCAGCGACTAAATTGATCTAAAATTATTTTTTAAAAAAACTACATTAATTCAGCGGCAAATTGTATAGCGTTCATTGTGATATTCGATTCGATAAAAAGAATCACGACAGGGACATAACGTTAATCACTAGTGAGAAAAATATTAATTACGATTTATCTAGTCACTTGTGTACAAAAAAAATTTTTGGTTCGCCGATTGAATTATAAAAGATAAAAAAAAAACCGCCAAAAGGATTGGGAAAAAGGAGAATAGTATTTTTTTAAAAAAAGAGTAGAAAAAAGAGACAAAAGGATAGAAGAAGGAATTGAAAAAACAAAAGATGAGTTGAAAAACATCTTTTTGGGATTAGGGTTAACGAAAGCACTTATAAAACCGCATTATTTTGAAAATGCGGAAAATATATTAAAGAGCATGCATTATCGCGAAAATTGTTTAATTTTGATATTAAGAAAAACTTACTTCCTAAATATACCGTCGCGATTTTTTTTTTTTTTAATAATAGAAAAGAAAGTTAAATATTTCACGCAAAATCAGTAAGCGGCAAAGCTGCATTGCAGAAAAGCCGTTTAGAGTAATAATAATAAATTTAGAATTATAATTTTTTTTTTTTTTTTTTTTGATTAAAAATTGTCTTTTCTTTTCAATACAATTACGGAGATCGCGTAGGTGGTAGAACTATAGGGGTAATTACGACCGCATGTGTGTTGTACTTATAATCCGGTGGGATTGTCACGACTGAGACTAGAGTCACAACGAACAGTATGCCAGTTATAATAATCATCATCCTAAATGTTTTCTTACTTTTCTGTTCGATTAGCCATTCCAGAACTTCATCCTCTTTCTTAAGATTACCTACAAAAGTCACACACAATGCATGAGCAATTAATTTGATTCTTTTTCTAATTAAAATTAGTCATAGATTATCAAAATCATTAGCCTTTTTTTTGTTTTTTTTTTTTACTTGTTTTTCTTTCGGTATTTCTCGAGAATGTCTTTCATCCTTCAGATATTAAGTTAATAATTCATCTGTGATTAGCCTAATTAGAATTTAGTTTTTAAAGACTGAAAAAATGTATAATTAAAAAAAAAGTGTTGGAATAGAAAAAATTACTCAATGGGCACTGACATTTTACAGACTTTGTAAGAATACTTTTTTTTATCTGCTGATATAATTTTATTACATTATAACCATAATTTTGGTTAATTTTTTAATTTTTTATTGTTCTATTGGATTTGTTCCTTTGAATTTTCACATTTTCAGTAGCCATATTGGATCCGCAATTTTGAAATTTTGAAATTTGATATAAAATTTGGATTCATCGACCCTAAAAACCCCCGAGTGAATAGTTTTAAGTAAATTTGATATATGTTTCACATATTCGGTCGCCATATTAGCTCCGCCATTTTGAATTTTTTAAATCTGATATCAAATTCGGATTCAGCGACCCCAAAAACCCCCGAGTAAGAAGTTTCAAGTAAATCTAATCAATTTTCACATTTTCGGTCGCCATATTGCATCCGCCATTTTGAATTTTTGAAATCTGATGTTAAATTCGAATTCAGCGCCCTCAAAAAACCATTGAGTAACAAATTTAACAATAATCCATCAGTTTATATAGCTGAACGCTTGATTTTTCTCTATTTACATTAATGACCTTGAAAATTGTACGCTGATTACTAATCTGCTGTGAATTTTTCAAAATTCAAAATGGCGGATGCAATATGGTAAAAAATTTGATAAAAATTGATCGGATTTACTTGAAACTTTTTACTCGGAGGTTTTCGGGGTCGCTGATTACGAATCTGGCATCAGATTTTAAAAATTCAAAATGTCGAATCCAATATTGCTGAAGATTTTTGTAAATATTTATCAGATTTGCTTATAACTTGTTATATGTGGATTTTCAGGGCTGCTGATTGCGAATCTAGTATCAGATTTTCAAAATTCCAAATGGATTTACCAGTACAACAATTTTTGTTATTTTAAATTGATTTGAAACGTTCCTAGTACGTTTCTGTAGCAATTATGTACCCACTAAACACTCAAAATCTGAAGGATAAAAGTTAAAGAAAATAAGAATATAAAATCGTAATATACCCTCGTTGGCACCATTTAAAAAAAATAGAATAAGGAACGCTTAAATTCTCTTACCGTCGTACATAATTGGGACGCCGGTCTCATAGTAAACAAGAGCCGGAAACGAGAAGATACCAATCTCAGCGGCTAATTTGGCATCTTTTGATTTCACAAATTGAATACCATGTTTGTCCGTGTCATCGTCAATGGTCTCGAGTTCCTCCAAAATCTCAGGGCATGACTCGCACTTGTCGTCGTCTACACCAAAAAAAAAAAAAAAAAAAAAAAAACAACAACAATGATTTCTTATCATATTTAAAACAGTTGAAAAACAAGAAAAGAATGTACACGCGCTCTTACAGAAAAATACAGCAAGATGCTCGACATCATTTATCAGGACCTGCAACGTTTTTCTATCAACATTTTCAATTACATCCGGTGTTGATGTACGAAGATCAAGAACCCAATCTAAAATTGCCTCCTCATGCATCATATCGCCAGTGTAAATTTGTCGAAATTTGTGTCTATAAAACGCTAAAGCAGGTAGACTCGGTAAATCGTATTCTTTCTCTATTCCATCGTCTGATATTTTCACAAAATCAATGTCCTTCTCCTCGCATTCATCGTCAATATTTTCCAATTCTTGAAGAATTTTTTGACTCTTCTTGTCTCCTTCCTTATCTGAAATTTTGGTAAATAATTATTAATATTTAAAATTAAATTAAAAACTTGAAAAAAGAAGAAAAATAATACTTACAGAAGAAAACAACAACGTAATCATTTTCCTCTAGAATATTTTCCAGCATACGACTATTTACTTCCTCAATTTTGCCAGGAATTTCAAGAGTATTTTCATCAGTAATCCATGACAATACTTCATCTTCATCGTCTAAATCTCCTTTGAATATGAGTGGTTCCTTATTTCTAAAGAAGGCAAGAGTGGGAAATGATTTGATTCCATGTTTTTTCGCCATTGATGTATCTTCAGTTGTGACAAATACTATTCCTGTTTCGTCTAATTCATCGTCAATGTTTTCCAGCTCTTTTAGTACTTTATCACATTCGTCACCATCATCGCAATCACCACCTGATTATATTAAAAAAAAAAAAAAAAAAAAAACATTGTTGAAAATATAACAATCAAACAGTGTCAGATATCACGAGGATTTTGTGGAAAAAATAAGAAAATCAATAACTTACTGAAAAATACAACGACGTACTCATGCTCCTCAATGAGATCTGTTAAAATTTCATCTGTAACTTCTTCAATGGTTGCCGATTCTTTTTGTTCAATTAACCATTTAAGTACCTCATCTTCATTAAGGAGATCACCTTCATAAATTGCTGGAATCTTTCCTTCAAAGTAGACCAACGTTGGTAAATGATCAATACCATATTCCTTAGCTTCCGCTTCATTATCCAAACGAACAATAACAATTCCAGCTTTCTCCAATTCATCATCAATATTTTCCATTTCATTCAAAATTCTCATATCCTGTTTATCGTTCTTGTCATCTGTAAATATTTCAATTATCAATCTACTATCTACTTTTAAACATAATTATCTTTCATGAATTTAGAAAAAATAAAATTATAAAATTCAAAAATATTAACAAAAACAAATAACTAACAAAAAAGTACAGCCAAATAGGGAGTTGTTTCTATTAATTTCTCCATCATTTCATCAGTGACTTCTGGAATTTCGCTATGTTTTTTCTGATGTAACAACCAACCCAAAAGTTGATCCTCATTCATAAGATCACCTGCAGAAAAAATATTTTTCGCAAATAAATTTAATAAATATAAATAAAATTGTTTTTGGTTATATAAGAAAAAAATAACTTACCTTCATAAATATGGGGTATTTTTCTTTCAAAAAATACAAGCGTTGGAACTTCATCGATTCCATATTCTTTAGCTTCATCTTCATCGTCTATTTTAACGAATGCAATATTATGTTGATCACAGTCATCATCAATATTTTCCAATTCTGATAAAACTTTTTGACTCTTCTTTTGATCTTTGTCATCTGTTAAAAAAAATTTATAATTAATGTTAAAATCATTTGCAATATTATAAATGTTATCATTTACTGAATATTTGTCCACTATATTGGCTCAGCAATTTTGAATGTTAATAATCTTATGTCAGATTTGTAGTCAAGGACCTCAAAAATCTCCAATCCAATCAATTTTTAAAAATATATTCCGCCAAATTGAATCCGCTATTGAAAAATTTGTAAAATCTGATGCAAAATCCTTAATCAGTGACTTTGAAAACTTTCTAGTCCCAAGTTTCAATCAAATTTAAAAAAATCTTCCTTCATATTGGATCCGCCATTTTGAATTTTTAAAATCTGATGCCAGATTCGTAATCAGCGACCCCGAAAACACCCGAGTACAAAGTTTCAAGTAAATCTAATTAATTTTTAAAAAATTTTCTACCATATTGCATCCGCCATTTTGAATTTTGAAAAATTCATAGCAGATTAATAATCAACGTACTTTTTTCAAGGTCATTAATGTAAATAGAGAAAAATCAAGCGTTCAGCTATATAAACTGATGGATTATTGTTAAATTTGTTACTCAATGGTTTTTTGAGGGCGCTGAATTCGAATTTAACATCAGATTTCAAAAATTCAAAATGGCGGATGCAATATGGCGACCGAAAATGTGAAAATTGATTAGATTTACTTGAAACTTCTTACTCGGGGGTTTTTGGGGTCGTTGAATCCGAATTTGATGTCGGATTTAAAAAATTCAAAATGGCGGATCCAATATGGCGACCGAAAATGTGAAAAATTGATTTAATTTCTTTAAAACTTGTTACTCAACGGTTTTTTGGATCGCTGAATCCGAATTTGATATCAGATTTAAAAAATTCAAAATGGCGGATCCAATATGGCGACCGAAAATGTAAGAAATTGATTTCATTTACTCGAATCTTTTCACTCGGGGGTTTTTTGGGTTGTAGATTTTGAATTTGATGTCAGATTTAAAAAATTCAAAATGTCGGATCCAATATGGTGACCGAAAATGTGAAAAATTGATTTAATTTCTTTAAAACTTGTTACTCAACGGTTTTTTGGATCGCTGAATCCGAATTTGATATCAGATTTAACAAATTAAAAATAGCGGATCCAATATGTTGACTTAAAATTAAAAAAAGTAATCGGATTTACGTGAAACTTTTTACTCGGGGGTTTTTGTGGTCGCTGATTACGAATTTGGCATCTGATTTTTAAAATTCAAAATTGCAAATCCAATATGACGGATTTTTTTTTAAATTTATCAAATTTACTTTAAAATTTCTGCCCGGTTATTTTTATATATTGGGTAAAACAATTTTTTTTTCTCACCAAACTAAGAAGGTAAGAAGACCCCTCAGTATGTTATTTTATTGAAAATTGAAAAAAAAAGATATTAGTTCTGAATTAATTTTTATTGATTTTTTTAAAATTAATTGCATTACTTACAAAAAAGTACAGCAACATGAGGCATTTTTTCAATAACCATGTCAAGCATTTCGTCAGTTATATCCTCAATTTGATCGCTTTTTTGCTGATGTTCAAGCCACTTGAGTACTTTTTCTTCCTCCTCTAAATTACCCTCATATAATGCTGGTATTCCTTTTTCAAAATAAAGTAAACTGGGAACTTTTTCTATGCCATATTCCTTGGCCTCTTCGGAATTATCAATTTTTACAAAAATTATACCCAATTGATCACATTCGTCATCAATGTTTTCGAGTTCATTTAAAACTCTTTGTGATTTGCGATCATTATTGTCATCTATTGAAAATATCAATTATAAAATATAATAATAATAATCAAATTGATAATTCTAAATATAATTGAGACAGTATAAAATTTAAAAATATAAATTTTCATGTGGTTTTGTTTTCAAAAAAAAAAAAAAATTAATTAATTAAAAGTAAAACCTACAAAATAAAACTGCTAATGTTTTTCCCTCTTTGACTAATCGATCCAACATTTCATCTGTAACATCTTCAATTTCATCTTTTTCAAGTTGTGATAATAGCCATTCAAGAATTTCATCTTCATTTTCAATATCGCCTAAAAAAAATTTATTAATTTTAATTTAAACAGAAAATTTTCTTTGAATTAGTTTCAAAATTAAATTTTAATTTTAGAATTTTTTTTTCTTACATTTATCGTAACATATACGTACCATCGTATACATTTGGTAGCTGTTTCTCAAAGTATACAATTGCAGGCACTGTATCGATTCCAAATTCTTTTGCCGCTTTGTCGTCATCAATTTTAACAAACTGAATTCCGTGCTTGTCGCAATCATCATCAATCTTCTCGAGTTCATGAAGAACTTGCATCGAATCCTCATCACCATGATCGTCTGCAATTTAATAAATAAAAAAAAAAAAATGAATTTAAATGCACTTTATAAATTGGTCAGGGGCAAAAAAAAAACAACTTTTTTTTTTAGAAAATTTAATAATAAATCATTATAAATTTTCTTGAAACACTTGAAGGGAAACCTTGAATACGAACAGAAGAGTACGACCAGATTGTCGATGTTTCCAATGAGAGTGTTGAGCGTCTTTGCAGTCACATCTTCAATAACATCTTCCTCGTCTCCTGTACTTTTATTTGCAACCAACCACTCCAAGACATCTTCTTCTCGACTCAATTCGTCTACATAAAAATAAGAAAAGAATTTTAAGAAAAGAATTTAAAAAAAAACAATTTTCTAATAATTTAAATTTTTGTTTTTTAATATAAAATTCAAAATTCGAGGATCTAATAACCAATGAATTAAATGATCTATGGATTGAATCATCGAAGGATCTGCGATCAATAAATCTAAGCACTCAAGGATCTATTTATCTATAGATCGAAGGATTTAAGGATCTATGAATCGAATCATCAAAGAGCCTATGATCAATAAATCTAAGCACCCAAGGATCTATATTTATCTATAGATCGAAGGATTTAAGGATCTATGGATCGAATTATCAAAGGACCTGCGATCAATGAATCTGAACACATAAGGATCTATTTATCTATAGAACGAAGGATTTAAGGATCTATAAATCGCAAAGGCCTAGAAATTAAACAATTTATGGATCCAAGGATCTATGAATCAAACTTTCTTTCGCTCTTTGATCATATATTTATGATTTATGATTTATGATTTATGATTTATGATTTATGATTTATGATTTATGATTTATGATTTATGATTTATGATTTATGATTTATGATTTATGATTTATGATTTATGATATTTTTTCTGTCAATATTTAAAAAAAAATAGAGCTTCGTAGAAAGAAATTGACATTATAAATATAATAATAATATATAATTATATAAAATTATTCTTACGTTCATAAACGATTGGTATTTGATGTCTGTAGTAGACCAAAACAGGAAGCTGTCCGAGATTGTACTCCTCGGCGAGTCGTTCGTCTGCAATCTTAACGAATCCGATACCCAATTGATCGGCCTCGTCATCGATGTTCTCCAGTTCCTGAAGGGCCTTTGCGCACTTCTTACAGTCCGGTTTGTCTGTCCCATTTTGAACCAAGATGAAACATTATCGGAGGTCATTCGGTTTCTTTCTTTTACTTTACAAAACGAAAATCATATCGCTCAAAATTAATTCGACGTGCTCAACTTGGGACTAAACTAAAACACTCGGAATTTTTTCTAATGTATATTTACATCTCACATATATATGGTTTTGTCTTTCAAATCATATATATATATATATGTATTCGTAACTAGATTGACTAGTTTAAAAACAAGGCCCAAAGAGATCATATTACGTCTTGGTTGAGAAATATGATGCAAAGCAGGTTACGACATTTATATATTAAAATCTCCTTTTACAGAGTTACGTTATTATTATTATTTATTTATATTTGCAAGGATATCAAAACAAGAGAGAAAGAGAGAGAGAGAGAGAGACTGTAGCAAAAGCGTATTTTATTGAGAAAAAAAGTAAAAGTTGAATCTTTTCCATTTCCTTCAAAAGAATGAAAATTTTATTTCATTTTTTTTTATTATGTTATTTCTGCCCTGAAGGAATAGATACTTTTATTTCAATGATTTACGCGAATGGTTAGTGTTACATTACAATACTCATACATTAATAAAAAGCTTTCGATGCTTTTTTTTTATTTTACAATCAATGAGCAAAATGTATTATAAGAATATAAAAATATATATATATGGAAAAAAGGTTTAGAAAAAATTGTTTAATATTGCTGGAAGAAAAATTCAAAAGCAGAATTCATAAAGAAAAGTATTTATAAAAGCAAAATACTTTGTAATTTTAATACAAAATCATTTAATTTTGATTGTATATTTGCTGATTTATCGAATTTCAATACTAATAATAATAATAATAATAATAATAATAATAATAATAATAATAATAATAATAATAATAATAATAATAATAATAATAATAATAATAATAATAATAAATTTGATCAAATAATATATTATTATTATTATTATTGTTTGGAAAACCAGTAATTTCTTGTAATAACATTTACCGATATTTAAACAAACAAATTTGTATTATCATGAGATTAAAATTGGTTGTACAATAATTAGAATGACTCCAGAATCATTAGATGTATCGACAGTAATATTATTCTCCCGATAATGAGATAGTTTCACTTGCAATAATTGCCGCTGCTCTCTCAATTGGGGAATACGAATTATATTACAAACAATTTCAATAATTATTATATACATATAATATTCAAATATATATACATTCTTCTCTGTAATTAGGCGTGCAAGTTAATAAAAAAAATTTACAGAATAACAAAAAAAAAAACACACACACACATTTACATTTTAATCTGGTAAATTCAACAAATACTCAATTATCAAATGTTAAAACAAATAACAATAATTTTGTCAAATAATTTTTAAAAAAAACACTTCTTTTTTATGCATAACAATTCGTGCTCTTTCGCTGTTAAATAATTGTACAATATTAACATAATATATTTACAGTATTCCTATATAAATAAATAAGTAATAATAGATTTTTATAATGTGTATTTAGCGACAGAGCAACGATTTTCATAAGGTATTGTGGACGTATTTAAAAAAAAAAACTTATTTCCAAAATTTAGGAAAGAGTCGTTGAATTCACAGAAAGGACCTGAAAGTTTTGAGTTTAAAAATATACTTACTGGAACCAGCTCCAGCGCAATGCTCCGAATCAGGACCTGATCGCATTTACACACACAAAAATATTTCACATGTATGTATATTATTTACAAGTATTTTTGTGTATAATAACTAAAAGTGTTTTGTGGGAAAAAATTGGAAAAAAGCTTAATACTTAATTATGTACATTTTTATAGGAATGACAAAAAAAAAATTTTTTTTTAATCAGTTTTTTGAAAAGATCTGTCTTTTTTTTACCTATTTATATTTTTTACTATTTTTCTCTAATTTCTTTATTTCTCATTTTTAAAGAAACACTTTGCACACGTAAAAACAAAATATTTTTAATTTCATTGGATTCATTCTCCCTTCGGGTACAGAACCATAAAAAGATGTTGCTGCAGATTTTTGTATTCCTGCTAATTTGACGGAAATATATTAACCCTAATAACACAAGATATCTTGGGATATATTGATAATAATATCAAAAGAATCTCTTAAGGATATCCAAAAAATCGGCGGTTTGGATATCTGAGGATATCCACAAGATATCTTCTGGATATCTCTATAGACTTTCATAAATGTCCTCCAGATATCCCATAGATATCGTCAGAATATCCCACAGATATTTTCAGGATATTCTCAGTATATCTTCTGAATGTCAAGAAGATATTCTCAGGATACTGTTTTTAAAGTCATTATGAGACTACGAGTGAGAATATTCTGTGAATTAAATTTTATATAAATTTTTTTTTTATTTATATGCTTAATATTGTGAGAAAATAAATTAGCTTTAAACAATATAAATTCTTCCCCGCAAATAACGAATAACTATTAATATTAATTATACATTAAGTGCATGAGTTTATTTAAAAACTTTGAAAAATGCTTTTCAAATCTCCATTTAAAATAAATTAGAAGCTCATAAGATTTTTGTTTTTATTATATTATTATTCATTATATTAGCTTAACAGTTTTAACCTTTAAAAATATATGTTGAGATATTAAATATCCCGTGAATATCCTAAGAATATCTCACGGACATCCTGAGGATATCCCATGGATATCCTGCGATATAATATCCAATAGATATTTTGTGGATGTCTTAGGGATATCCTATGGATGTCCTGTTGATGTCCCACAGACCGGCGGTTTGGATATCCTAGGGATATCCTATGGATATCCCAAGATATCCTGGGGACCATTCTAGGATATCGACCATTGATATGGATATCCTATGGATATCTTAGGGATATCCTTTTGTTATGAGGGAAATATATACAATAATAATTTTTATACATTTAAAGAAAAAGTTACTTTTTTTTATACTAGACAATAAAATCATCAATATTCGGTAACTGAATTTTTCGATAACTCAAAGTGAAGTAAATTTTAAAAAAATTTGCTCAAATTAACTTGAAATTTTGTAATTGAGAGTTTTTGATGCAGCTGATTAGAAATTTGAACTTTATTTTCAACAGTTTTTAATTACGGATCTAATATGGAAGACGAATTTCATGAAATTAATCAAATTCACTTGAAACTTGTTAATCAGAAGTTTTAGGGGTGGCTAAATTTGAATTTGGTGTGAGATTTTAAAAAATCAAAATGTCGGATCCAGTATGACAAGATAAAATTTTCGAAATCGCTCAGAATTACTTGAAACTTGTTATTCAGGGGTTTTTAGAGTTACAGAAATAGAATTTGATGTCAAATTTTTAAAATTCAGAATGGCGGATTCAATATGGTGGATCACTTTTTTAAAATTCAACGAATTCACTTGAAATTCGTTATTCGGGATGAAAATTTAAAAAATAATTAAATTTTCTTGAAACATGTTACTCGAGGGATTTCGTGGTCGCTGAATTAGAATTTAATATCTGATTTCAAAAATTCAAAATGTCGGATTTAATATAATAATCTAAAATTTTTAAATCGCTCAGATTTACTTGATACTTATTACTTATTGTCAGAAATTTTTGGTGTTGGTGAATTTGAATTTAGTGTCATATTAAAAAAATTAATAATAGTCATTTTACTGATTTTTTATTTTGATTTTAAAATCGTGATTAGCAAATAGAAATCATTAAAGAAACCTTTTTTTTTTAATTGAAATTTATAAAAACTTTGAAATTTCTGAATTTTCCACTTTTTTAAACTGTATTTTCACATTCTCTCACATTTAATTATTCCAAATTAAATATTGCGCTCAGTAATGAAATTAAATATTCATTTATTTATTAATATTAAATATCATGTAACAGAGAATATTGTTGAATTTTCATTTAATTTTCCTCTTTTTTTGGGAGGGTAAATTTGCAATAAAAATATTTTGTTTTTCCGTGTGCTTTAAAAAATAATAATTTATGTACATTCATTGGTACAACGAAAATAATAATTAAATTTTATTAACAGTCAGAGTTAATTATATAAATAATTTAGTAAACATACTTGCATATGCCGAATCAAAGTTAATTTCAAAATCATTAAAGCAAGCATTCAATATAATTTTTTTTTTGTTTATTTTTATTGTATATTTTTATTTTACATTTGCAAACAACGCACAGAACAGAGTTCATTTCTGTTTGTTTCTGTTTTAAAGCTCTTTGTAAATTGCAGTAGAATTTCGGATAAAATCAGTTGCAAATAACTGATGTAGTCCAAAGGAAATATATATATATTTATATATAAAAAAGGAGAAAAAGTGTAATGCAGTGTTTCTGTATCTATTTTTATAGTGTTATATTTACAACTATATATAAAAATTAAAAATATTGCAATTAATTATAATAATAAGCTACTTATTAATGACAATTAATATTACAATGATAAAATATGTAAATTTCACTAATTATCGATTACAATAATTTTAGAAAATTTTTTTTTATATTAAACAAAAGTGACTTTTACATATTCTAAAATTGCGAAGAAAAATAGAAATTACACATAAATTTTATTTACATTTTATAGCGTTCTATAAAACATTGCAATTTTACAAAAAATAAGCATTTTTTCTAATTTTCTAAGACAGCGATATATTTATTACAAATAATATATGATTAAAAAAGAAAAAAAAATTAATTTTTTAATTTCAAAAAGTAGAAAAATAATTTAAATACAATTAAATTAAACAAAAATTTATATGTTTAATTATTAATTAATTAAACGAATATATAATTAATGTAAAAATTAATTTGACTTATAATTGAAAAAATTTTACTCTGTATATATATATATCAATGTCTAAAAAAATTCTTTGCTCAATAGGAAAGAAAGTATAAAGTGAAAAACTTACAGAAGAGAACTGCTAAAAAATCTGTTTCTTCGACAATTTTCCCCAGAATTTTCGAGTTAACTTCCTCGATGCGGTCGGGTAAGTCCATGGCCTCCAAGCTCGTCAAGAACTCCAGAACATTTTCCTCGTCCATAAGATCTCCTAAAAGATATTCAGAGAGAGAGAGAGAGACTTTTAGAAAAATCTATACTTTTTATACTATTTCCTGCTGTCTTGAAATTATTAAAATTTCAACAACAAAAAAAAACTACCTTCGAAAGAAAACAATACAAGAAAATTTACAAATATATATATATATATATATATATGCAAAAACAAATGAAATTGAAAAAAAAGAAAATTACAATTAGAAAAAAATTTATTTTAATGTGAAAAAATTTAATATAAAAATTATTATAGTCGATATTTTAAAAGCGAGTAAATAAATATAAATTTTCTTTAAAGAATTAAAAAAAAAAAATTTTGCCATATTGGATCAGTCATTTTGAATTTTTAACGTCTGATATGAAATTCGTAATCAGCGACCTCAAAAACCCCTAAGTGACAAGTTTCAAGCGAATCTGATCAATTTTTAAAAAAATCTTCCGCCATATTGGATCCGCCATTTTGAATTTTTAAAATCTAATGCGAAATTCGTAATCAGCGACCTCAAAAACCTCCCAGTGACGAGTTTCAAGTGAATCTGATCAATTTTTAAAAAAACCATCCGCCATATTGGATCCGCCATATTGAATTTTGAAAAACAAACATCGAATTTGTAATCAGTGACCCCGGAAACCCCCGAGTAACGAGTTTTAATCGAATCTGATCTATTCAAAAAAAATTCTTTCATTATATTGTATTCGCCATTTTGAATTTTGAAAAACTAACAGCATATAAGTAATTAGCGTTCTGTTTTTCAAGGTCAACAATGTATAGAAATAAAAAGAAGCTTTCAACTAAATAAATCGACGAATTATTGTGAAATTTGTTACTCGAGGATTTTTGGGGTCGCTGATTTCGAATTTGATGTCAGATTTTTAAAATTCAAAATGGCGGATCCAATATAGCGACCGAAAGTGGAAAAATTTACTAGATTTACCCGGAACTTTTCACTCGGGGGTTTTTTGGGGACGCTGAATCCGAATTTGATGTCAAATATAAAAAATTAAGAGTAACAAATCCAATATACCTCCGATTCTATGATTGTAATTAAAAAAATTGTTATTAATTTTTTCCTCTATAATTTTTTGTTTTTCCAAATAATTTTCAATATTCTGCTCACTACAGTTTGGAAAATAAAAATATTTCAATTTTTGACAAAGTTGTGAATTTTTTTGAATATTCAAATGGTTTTAGATCAAAACCAGTGAACGTTAAAGGATTAATTAATGCAATTTTTTTTTTTTTTTTTTTTGAAATTGAAAGTACCACTTGTAATTAAATGTGATTTTTCATTTTTCATACATTGCTTTAGTTGTCGTTCACAAAATTCTGTTCATAGCAGCGACAAGGCCATTGCAAAAGACCACAACATTTGGGCCGTAATCCAATAAAATTTGGCTCTATGCCTTCTCGACTCTCTCGATAGTCTTTCTTGCTCATCATCGGCCCTCTGTTCTTCCTGATTCTTCACGCGAGTACTATTACCATACAATGTGAAAGTAATTTTCCAAACGTTGACATTGTTCCTCAAATATATATATATATTTTTAACTTCCCAATTTGTCCTTATTACAATTATTATTATTATTTAAATTTTATGGCCACGTTCTCGTAAAAATACAAGAATTTAATTTTTACAGTGTTATAAATTTTCATCAAGGTTTTATATGCATCGTAGGTTTTTATATGTGTCCCATATTTCCCATGTATATAAATATTTCCAAATGCAAAAATTTTCTTATTGGTATTTCATTTAATTATTTAATTTTTTTTTATATATTTACTAAAGTAAATTAAATTACAATGGTGAAGCTTACCATCGTATATAATTGGTTCCTTTTCCCTAAAATATGTGAGTGCGGGAAATGTCTTAATGCCATACTGCTTCGCCAAACGTTTGTCATTGATTTTGACAAAATCAACTCCAAATGTATCAGTGTCATCGTCAATTTTCTCTAATTCAGCAAGAACTTTATCACATGTTGTACAACTTCTGGCATCTGAAACATGAAAAAGTCAATCGATATAATGCGCGCTATATGTATATATATATATGAAAAACTGAAGAAAATTTAATTAAATTTGAAAAAAAATATAAAAAATTGATTATAAAAATATCGTAAAAAGTATTATGACTCTGTGGATAAAAAGATTTTATCGAAGTTAGGTGTTTTAATTACAAACGCGCCACTATGAATAAAAATATTAACGCAAAGAAAGTGTTGTAGAATTTCCTGTGGGTATAGAAAAAATAGTGCGGATGTATTACAAGAAATGTTGTAAATGATGGTATTCAAGGTGCTTTAGAAGATATTACAAAATATATTGTTATAGAAACTGCTACAAAAAGTCCTATATAGAAAAAGGTTGAAAATGATGCTATAGAAAAAAATGTTTCAGATGTTATCCGTAAGGTACTGTAAAATTATTACATTATAGATATATTCTGTAAGTGATATTTAAAAAAAAAAATATAATAATTTAAGAGAAGCTCAAACAAGTGATACATAATACTGATAATGGTAGTGGTAATATTTTTTTTCTAAATATTCAATAAAAAATGCTACTGATAATGATATGATGATATAAAAAATATTGTAAAAGAATATATCATGAAAGATCCAATACAAAACCTTATGGAATATGTCAACTGCTGTAGTAAATACAAAAGACAATACAAAAAAATACTACGATACAAGGTAGGAAAGATGGTACACAATGTAATGGATGTTATTTTAAAGATATTAACAAATCAATCAGATAATACTGCCCAAAATCTTCCGGACGATACCATAGAAGATAATACAGGAAATGTGGAAAAAGATAATGTAAATGATGCTAAAATTTTTTACAGATGATAATACTCAAAACACTACAAGGTATAGTACAATATTAAGGATGCTGTGAATGGTGCTGCAGATGAAGCTACCGAAATGAATATGGGGTTCAACACACTGATAAAGAATACTACGAATGATACTACAGAAAAAGTATTTTTGAAAACACTACAGAATGTAGTACAATGTTAAGGAAGCTATGAAATATGCTACAGATGATGCTACAGATGATGCTACAGATGATGCTACAGATGATGCTACAGATGATGCTACAGATGATGCTACAGATGATGCTACAGATGATGCTACAGATGATGCTACAGATGATGCTACAGATGATGCTACAGATGATGCTACAGATGATGCTACAGATGATGCTACAGATGATGCTACAGATGATGCTACAGATGATGCTACAGATGATGCTACAGATGATGCTACAGATGATGCTACAGATGATGCTACAGATGATACTACAGATGATGCTACAGATGATAATACAGATGATACTACAGATAATGTTATGGAAAATACTTCAGAAGCTAAAAATGCTACCCAAAAAAAGATGATACAGATTGTAATATTGAAAATACTACAGAGCGAACTACAAGGTTCAGGATGATATAATAGAAACTACAGATGCTGTTACAAAAAACACTTTGAAGAAGGCTAAAAAGTTAAAGGATACTACAAAGTCTTCGTTTCAAAATTTACAGTAGATTATATTTCGAAAATTACGAAAAAGATTACTAAAGAACTCATTGCCTATGACGTTGAAAAAATAGCTGAAAAAATAATTAAAACTACCAAACACTAAAACCAAAAATCTGTCTACAGATTATATAGACATAAATTATTTTTTTCTGTGGTACAAAAAAATTACTAAACTCCTCCAAAATTAATAACAAAAATCCTCATCAAAATTTAAATACAAAAATAAATATTACGTTAAATATTGTAGAAAAATTTTCATAAAATACAAATGCACAACACAGTTGTTATTTAACTGCATTACTAATGCTCTAATAAAAACATCGCATTGCTATTTTCAAACTGTAATACGAGAAAGAAGGTCTTACTACTTACAAGAATATATCCGCTATAGTTCTATACAGTATTGGGTTTATTATCAAAAAACCTTTTTTCAAAATCAATACAAGAAATTTTCAAAATGTTTTCAAATTTTTTTTTTCTCATAAGAAAAAATTATACAAATTTTAATTTGGTATAAATTGTGAACGTGTGCCAATTTTGACTGGATTTTCCTCATCTCATCTATATATCTAATAAATAAATAGACTAGAGGGATAATGACCTTCTCTTTCTTCTCAAAATTTCATGTCTTTTTCACATATTTGCAATTACTTTGAAATTGTAAAATTGCCTTTGCAACATGTAGAAGTTGGATCTGTGTGTATATATATATATATATATGTATATTGCTCGGCACGTGCCATGAACATCGAACAAACCATCACGTGTGCATTCACAATCTTCGTTCGGCGACCGCGCTTACCCACCCATTCCAAATATATCAACTGGTGAATCTTGGATGCTCTTAATATAGTCTTTAACGCTTTCGTCCTCAGTAGTCGTGCGTTACATAAGTAAGAAGAAACCACCCGCACGATCTATACCACATGCTGAATTAACATCCACTTTTTTTTATTCCAATTAGATTTTTTTTTCAACGGATTATAGAATTTTTATATTTTATTCTTCAACTATTTTATTTGAAAAAATTCTAAAAAATTAAAAAAACAATCTCTAAATTGCTAATTGTAAGTGATAACAAAATTACGTTTAGTGCTTTTCTCGGTCTGTCAGACCTATTATTTTTTTTTTTTGTATTTTTCTAGTGATTTTAAATTATGTAATGACGAATACATAAAGAGTGATTTTTAATGTTCCGGACCCCATAATTTTTTTTGTTTCTTATTTTTTTCGTTTTTAAAGAAAAATAATGGAAGTAAAAATAAATTTAAGGGGTCAGGAACATAAAAATCACCTACTATATTTTTGTACATTGAAAAGTATAATTATTTTATTTATAAATAATTTCTTGTATTCACAGAAAATTAAAAGGCATTAAAATAAGAAGCATTGCAGCTTATTTTAATGCCTTTTAATTTTCTGTGTTTACATGATGTTTATAGATTTACGAAAACGTTAAGACAGTAATTCTAGGTTAGGGTGGCTGACAGAACTGCGCTTGCGCACAAACATGCGCAGAAGTTACCTTTAGTTTTCGGCTAATGTCGGTAATACAGATCGAAATTTTCATTTATATTATAAAATTTAACTAATATTAAAATTTGAAACAATTGTCGCCTAACGGGTTTTTTTATTAAAAGTAGCTATTGTATTTTTTTAAAAAAAAGTGATAAACGAAATACATATAGGTCTGATAGACCTCTATGGTAGTTAAAGGGTTAATTTTTATAATATCTAACAAAAAATAATCTAAACTATATTTGAAAATTAATTTTCCCATTGATTCTAAAGAATGAAAATTCTTATCTTTATTTTTAAATTCTATTGATTTCTTTACAAGTTCTTATGTATATTTTTCAGAGAGAGAGAGAGAGATGCTTCTAAAAATAAGTCTCTATAGTTTTTTTCGTATTATTTTTTTTCAATATAAACGAGAAATGACAAAATTTGACAGTAGTGTATAGATGTTTGTTTCAAGATCGCGGGTCACAATGTAGGACGCGCTAAAAATATAAATATAATATAAGAATCGTCAACGAAATGTTGTGTGTATCGCGACACGTATATTGCTACAAAAGTCTGGAAAAAAAAAAATTTTCATCTGGAATGCAATTCGAAACTGATGAACGAGGCATGAGAAAAATAGTACGTGGGTAGATTTTTTGCAGACAACTTGAATCGAATTTATCAGAACATAATCCTCCAATAAAATATCGCAGTTATTGTTCGTGAATCGTTTTCCTTTATATAATATCTCGTCTTTATTTCGAGAAATCATGATAATATTAGAGGAAAGGTTGACGTCAACTTATCTAAAAAAAAAACAAAAACAATTTTCACTGGAAAATTTTTGATCACCAACTGCGCGTCCAATGTCAAGAACAATATGTAAAATTTTAGTTTTCATTTCAAGGCATTTATGAGATTTGATATATATATATATATATATATATACATGAAAAGAAGTAAAGAAACAGTAAAAGAAGTTATGGCCAACCATTTTGGAGAAAATGTTTTCTAAATCGTAAAACTTGTAAAAGTTACTTTAATCAAAGTAAATTCTTTGTTGTAATAAATTAGAAAAATAGTGATTGATTTAGAATTAAAAAATTCTATTAGAAATAGTATTAAAAACAGAAAAAAAAATTTATTTTAAATTTTCTATAAAGAGAATATGGCTAAAGTGAAGCGTAGCTTCTTTTTTATTTTAAGAGAACTACTTTAATACAGGTGCATGTAATATTTTGCTGTAAAAATTGTAAGATGTGGTTAGAGAGGTCAAACTGGCAATGAGACAAGAATGTCATATAGATAAGCAATATAGTAAATCCACCTCTAGGATCATGAAATTTTTATAAAGCTCATTGTACAACCAGGGATGGCTTTAAACGAAATGAAGCTTCATGTTTTATTTTAAAATCCAAATTTTTTTTTTATATTTTCCTATATTACATCAGACGCTTTTGATGATGAATATTTGTAATTTTACATATTAGAGATTCTTTTTCAATTGCCCCAGTTCAAAAAGTCAATGTTCTGGGATTTAAAATTGCAATGCAACACTAGTGATAAGAAAGTGAACTAAAAAACATGACCATCATGAATGTACACAGTTGTTGACATTTGGAGTGTTAACATTTTAAAGAAAAAGTTTCCAAGTTTTTCGGACATTATTTGCATTTGTATTAAAAAACTACTTAATATTAAAAATAAGGCGTCATTATAAAAGTTTTTTTTTTTTTAAATTTGTACACCCAAGTTCGGCCATATTTGTTGTGAAACACTAGCGCTATCCTGCCCGCGGTGGTAATTTTCTTTCCCAATTTGGAAGTATGTAAACAGTGGGAACAATTAGAAGTACGTTGAACATAACCCAAAAATACATTGCTCCTTATTTTTAAAACTTTTACAATATGGCTGACTGTTCAGCTGAGTTTAACACAATCAGT